TATATATATAATTGCGTATTTGGGCAGTAATCTCTCTTTCAAACAATTTTTGTTAAAAACTACTGACAAGGTACTGCGGTTAAGTTTTTATTTAATTTTTCTTGTGTTCTTCTATATTTTTTTCTTTCTAGACATAAAATGTTTGGAAAATAAATACATTCTTATAACTCTAGATACATACATAAAAAATCCATACATTCAGGTAAAATTAAAAATAAAATCTTCTTTGAGACTGTCTAAAAGAATAGCCAGAAGCGCTCGTCGTACAAAACATTCGGACAATTTCTACATAATTTAAGACCAAAAAAGCAAAAAATATAACAACGCAAGAAAAATTAAATAAAAACTTTATCTTCAGTTCCGTGTTAGTCGTTTTTAACGAAACTTGTATATATATATATATATATTAAAAAGAAGAGGGTGCCGCAAACGTTTTTTGGTTGTAATGTGGATTTATTGAGAAAAAATATTATACTTTGTTTTACATAATTTCACGAAACGTGTTTCTGGTCTGGTCTATATATAGGTGAATATATATATATATATATATATATATATATATATATATATATATATATATATATATATATATATATATATCTGTGTGTGTCAGAAATAGAGTGTTTGTAGATATAGCCAATCAATATAAAATGAACATTGCATGTTGGCTGCCATTTTCACGCCTTCCATAGATCACTTGAGGCTTTAAACTGACAGCTACCATGTAGTATTGATTTCTACAGCCACATTTTCTCTCTCTATATATATGAGTGTATATATGTTTATTATATATGTACACATGCAGATGGCTTTATTCAAAAATAGGTATTGTATAAATACATATAATTCGTTTCAGAAACATTTTATTCAATACAATAGTATTATAAACACAATACTAATAATTGGCAGGGAAAAAACTATTTTTCATTAATTAAGGAGATTCGCAAAAACTATTTTAATTAATTAAGGAGATCTATTAATTATATTTATATAATGTCAGGGTGTGATTGTATGTCAAGCTGTATTTGTAAGTTTTTTTAAAAATAAGTTAAGATGATCATAATGAACATTTACCTTGTTCACTTCAAATCAGATATCAACAAAAACAATTATGGTCAAGGTGAAAAAGTTGTCTGTGGATTAAAAACAACAAATTGCAAATGGTTGCAATTCCAGAATGAGTACTTATGCAACAGTTTTCAATCCCCAAGACAACTGTACAGCATTAAAAAAGGGAAAAATTTTATGAAGACAAAAACATTGCAACTCTTTCTGGTATACGCCATAAAGATTGCAAAAAAGATTGTCCATGAATGAAGGAAGAAAACTTAAGTTGTGATAAAAGATATTCATTCCAATTTGTTAAACAATGGAATAAATGTGCCACATCGTCAGATAATCAGGCTTTTCAGTAAACATATTCTCAGTCGTTATCATCCAAGGAAAACACATTTATTCGAAAGTCACCATCGCATTGCTTCAGGAGAAGGTAAGCTTTGTTAATACCTTTTCAGTGAACTGTCAATAATGGCGAAATTGGTATTGTGTCTTAATTACCAAAAGTTTGTTAAGGCTGTTTTTTTGTTATTAGGTAGAGGCTTTGTTATGCCAGTAAGTTCTCCATTTAACATTTTATGCTGGACGTATACAGTGATATTTTTCGATTTTCCAAACACGTCATTAAACTAGTCAGACGAAAATACTAACATTAACTAGTAATCTCTCTGGTTTCTGGTTGGATGGTACGTATATGAAAGTGGCAGATGATATATGAAGATTTTACCGCAGTATCTTTTAACAAAGAGTGTGCCCAGGAAGGGACAACTCAACACCGGCGACTCAACACCGTGAATATTTTAAAAATTATTTTTAATAAAGTAAATAGTAAAGAAATTTATTATATAAGAAAATAAAAATATTCAATAATTAAGGTTTTAATTCTTAATAAATTACTTTTATTCGGTTATAAAAAAAAATAGTTATGTTTTTCTGGTGCTGAGTTGTCTCGGTCCTGAGTTGTTTCAGTTTTGACTTGTGCCGGTGCCCAGTCCTGCACCGAGTATAAACACTGAGATGTAAATAGGGATGGTTTATTTTTCCTTTTCTTTAGAAAATCAAATTTGCACTCGATGTGAATACTGGGATTTGATGTGATAAGTACTGACATCAAAAATTAGATTCATAGCATTTACCATTCTTTAAGCATTTTTAAGCATTTAGTTTTAAAGATCATCTGAAAAATGTACAGAAATACCTAATTTCTGCAGGTTTTTGCTTACTGACTTCAAAATCTTACTATTTCTAGAATAAATCCAAATAAATTGAAATCTTTTGTACTATCAGGTCATCCCACGAGTTCTGTCCGAATTTTGAATAAAGAAAACAAGTGACCAAATGTTACATTTAATGACAGATTCAATCAACAATGTATTTTCCCTGATTATTTATGACTTCCTTCCATCTATTAACAAGCTGACTAAACCCATTACTGTAAAATTCTTTTGGCTTTGATTCGAAGAACTCACAAATGTCAGTTTTAACTTCTTCCTGTTACAAAAGCTGTTTCTTCCAAATGAGTCTGTAAGCTACGAAACAGATGGTAGTCTGAAGGAGCAAGATCGGTAGAATAAGGTGGATGAGGAATTTTCTCCCAACCAAGTTCTTCGATCTTTTGTGACATGATTCTTACTGTGTGGGGTCGCGCATTGTCCTGATGAAACATCACCTCTTTTCGATTCCCTAGAGCAGGTCTTTTTTTCGTCAAAGCTTGGTAAAAACGTTCTAATTGCTGATAGTATATTTGAGCATAAATTGTTGCATTAGGTGGTAAGAATTCAAAGTGGATTATTCCTTGGCGACCCCACCAGATTGAAAGACGAACCTTTTGCCCATGAAGTTCCCTTCTCGGCTATGGCTGGGGTCCTTCCCCTTTACCAAGTCACTGTCTACGACGTTTAACATTTCAATAAAAGATCCATTTTTCGTCGCCAGTCACAAGTCTATCCAAAAAAGGTGAAACAAGTTGGCGAGAATGGAGAGAAGAGCAGATGTCAACTCGGGATTTGAGGTTGTTTTCAGACAATTCATGAGGCACCCATTTTCCAAGTTTAGGAACTTTTCCAAATTGTTGAAGATGACGATGAACAGTTGTATGATTTGAACTGAGAACCACTGCCAATTCCTCAACTGATAAAGCAGGATTTTCTTCAAGGGCTGCTTCAAGAAGCTTTTCATCAAACTCAACTGGACGTCCTGTTCGATCTTCATCTTCAAGGATGAAATCTCCACCTCTGAATTTTGCAAACCATCTTCTGCAAATTCTTTCATTCACGCATTCCTCTCCATAAACTTAGTGAATGTTTCTAGCCGCTTCGGCTGCTGAGTTTCCTTTCTTGAACTCATAAAGCATTATGTGCCTCAAATGATTCTTGGGTACTTCCATGTTAGCAGGGTTTTAATCAAACAAAATTTAATTTTATTGTTCTCTGAAATAAAATTTGATCAATTTAAATGCATCTAAACATAAAAATAATGTTCAGCTCCATTAGACATTATAAAATACTCTTTAAATTTCGTTCATTTTAACAAAAAGTTAAAATTCGGACAGAACTTACGGGATGACCTTATAGATAAATTGAATGAAAAATATATTCAAACCAGAATTCTAATTAAAAACCACCACATGCAAAATATGTAGTTACTTTTACTGCATTCAATAAGCAAAAACTGTGTAAAGAATGTCAAAGATTGCAAAACAGGCTGCTCAATGAATAAGATTTGTTAAATAATTTGTTAGATCATAATTAATAAAAACAAAAAATACATAAAAGTGTTTATAACACTAAAAATACTACTGGACATAAATTATGAGACAAAATGTTTCAAATGTGCATTGTTTATTGAAAACGACACTAAAACTACAGCACTGTATAACATGTTACATCAGAATATAGCAAAATTGTTAAGTATAATTTTCCTTTGAAGTAAATGATAGATCAGATTTTCTTTATTTTCTATGATTTGCCATGACTTCTTGTGAGAAATAATACATTGGTTTTCCTCTTTTTTTTCTTTTTACATTAAGGTTTACTCTGTACAAGGCCCATGGGCCACTCGAGTTAGAGGGTTACGTTAAGCGTTAGTTTATATCGATAGGAGTGTAAGATAACGGTTGATTCTAGACTTGAATGGCTTAAGATTGTAGTAACATCCTTTTGGGAGTCTGTTCCTTAGGGTAATGGTTGTTCGCGGTAAGAAGCTGCTGACTTCTCTAGAATTTTCAGTTGTCTTTTTCTTAGATTGGCTGCCATCAAGAGAGAGAGAGAGAGAGAGAGAGAGAGAGAGAGAGAGCTCAGTCTATCCTATTTAACCCGTAGCTGAAGAGAGAAGTCATGGAATCCTACTTTCCCCAAGAGCATAGGGCAAAGCGAACTCAGTAAACAAGACAGGGATTTTCTGAGTTGATGATAGTTACGGTATCTGCCCGCCCAATTTGAAGAGCTAATGCTTCTGAATTTTGATTTAATTGCGAGGCTTTGGACTATTTTAAAAGCTAAGCTGGTTTACTGAGAAGAAAGTCAGTTCAAAGTTTAGCAGTGTTGGCCTCTCAAATGTATCCTAAGTCAATACTTGTTAAGTCCAATCTGTCCACTGTTCTTGAAGGAAAGACAAGCTGAATCAAATGAAGACAGTTGAATGTGTCTGTGAGCGGCACAGGTTGGGTGGTACGCTAGGAGGTGAAACCCACTCACCCTAAATACAGTTTTCTTCTTTCTTATTCCGCTGATACACTTCCTTTTTCATTGCTTGATTCATTCATCAACTTACTCATTCATGCTGTCTGCCCTTAGTTTATTAAATCCTTTAACGCCACCCTGATCACTAGCCCGCCACCCTGATCACTAGCCCGCTAACCTGATCTCCATCCCGCCTACTGCCACAATTTCCTTGAACATCATTTCGAATCGTTTTCATTTACCTGAAAAACACGATGACATGAGTCATTGGGGTGGGGATAGAAATGGAAGGGGCCGTGAGAAGAAACGTAGATAGCGAGGAAAGGAGCTGAGGGTGAAACTGGGGTGGGGGTTAGATGTCGAGGTGGGGATTGAGGTGATCAGGTTACTTTACACAGGCTTTACTGAGATTTACTGGTTTCCGCTTTAAAAATGGTCACATATACACACATCCGCACCCATGCGTACACACGTGCGCCTGTCCTAGTGTGAACGTTTTAAGAAGTTAGTATTCAAAGCATTACGTCGCAATTTCAATCCTTAATAGACACCGCAACATAGAACGTACATAGTAGCACACCACCTACATTCTCTCCGTATTCCAACGGCGAGAGGTAAGTTCTACCCGAAAAGCTTCTTCTCGCAACCCCCTGTCCTGTGAAACAGGCTCCCAAGAGGATGCTTCCCCGATCACTACAGTATTAACCTGTTCAAGTCTAGGGTTAACCGTTATCTTTCTCTCCTATCTGTATAAATTACCGCCTAACGTAACCCTCTACCTTGAGTGGCGCCCAGGCCCTGTAAAGGATGATCCTTATTGTAAAAATAAATAAATAAATAAAAATACAATGTCCATTAAATATCTGTGTGTGCAGATTATTTTAGGGCATTTCTGTAATCTCCTTCTATGTGTTGTGTCCCATCGGGATTTTGGCAATCATGTCTCTCCATAACTTTTGATTCTTTGTTCCCCTCAGGACCTGTCCAGCCTTCCGTTTACACAAGCGTGTTAGTTTACTCGCTGTTTCCCTTTGTCCTTTTTGTATTTTCTCTCTGTCTTTTTTGTCCTGTGAGTGCCAATTTTTTAAACCTACTTTCCTCATTATGAGTCATAAGAATTTGATTGTCTCTTTCCGATTCTAAATATAAAAGCCCTTTTTGTTAGCATTTTCTTTAGACCTTCCTCTTTGATTACATGCTCTATTCATGGCATTCTTAGAAGTCATCTGTAGAACTATCTCTGTTACCTGAAGTCTCTTCTTCATCTGTGTGTCCAGCAGTTCATGACTCTTTTTTTTGTAGAAACCTATTTCTACTGCTTCAAGTCTCTTCTTCATTTGTGAGGAGATTGTCCAGCATTCACTCCCATATAGGAGGACGGATATTGCATACCAGTTCAGGACTCTTTTCCTTTGTAGAAGGACATTTCTATTGCTTCAAGTCTCTTCTTATCTGTGAGGAGATTGTCCAGCATCCACTGCCATATAGGAGGACGGATATTATATAACAATTCAAGACTCTTTTCTTTGTAGAAGCACATTTCTCTTGCTTCAAGTCTCTTCTTCATCTGCCGGGTGATCGTTTAGAATTCACTGGCATTTATCTTTTGCTAAAAATATTTTTTACAATTTATATTTAATCCTTTCTTCACGCTTTCTTTTACTAAATTAATAATAATATCATCTAAAAAATTAATGCAGAATTTCAAAACATTTAAACTTAAATTATTCTAATTAAAATTTAAATTTTTTGTCCTTAATATATCTTATTCATAAAAGCAATTAAAGACTTTTCTAATTAAATAATGTAATAGTTTTACGGCATTTTTTATTTTACGTTTCAGAGAAGATTTTCGGTAAATGGTGACATATAGAAACATATAGCGATGTTGCTTATAATGAAAGTAGGAATCACGAAAGCAGATTGTATTAAACTGAATCGAACCGAAGAAATTAAAATAGGTATGAACTGAATGAGATATAAGCAAACTAATACAACGGTAAATAGATAGATAGATAGATAGATAGATAATGTAGGATATGAACAGACTTAGGTAGATAAATAGATGAATAATAAACAGAATATCAACAGATCCATATAAATAATGAATAGAATATAAACAGGCTTTTTTCGAGTCAAAAAGAAAATATTTGACTTAAGCGTTATAATTCCGGCGCGGCACAACATTTTTTGTGCAATTTTTTCACATTTTTTATTCTGAATTTTATGCTGACTGCAATAAAAATCCAAATAAAACTTCGTTTCAATTTGATTCAAAATTGTTTTTTTTTAGCGGCTTGGGTCCGCGATGTGAATATTGTACTAAAAAGGTTGACGACAACAGTTTAGAGTTGAGAAAATGGAGACATTTTTTTGTGAGGCCAAAAGAATCATTTCATAAAATTTCATTTTCATGGAATATGGGCGGTTGAGATATATTTGTAGGACCTCATTTTCTCAGTTACCGTAGTTAAATGTACAACTCTCTCACCATACACGCAGGCGTTCACGCACATGCATGCATATATATATATATATATATATATATATATATATATATATATATATATATATATATATATATATATATATGAAGAAATATAGTCTTAAGATGTGCTATATTTATGGGATAAAGTGCTCGATATCAGAGATAGAGCGTGTGTAAATATAAAAGTGAACATAGAAGTCAACACTTAGAGGCGACAGGCTGTTTCATGCTAGATGCAATCGACAGGCCACGATTGCATCTAGCATGAAACAGCCTGCCGTCTCTAAGTTTTCACTTCCATGTTCATATATATATATATATATATATATATATATATATATATATATATATATATATATATATGTGTGTGTGTGTGTGTGTGGATAATGAACAGAATATGAACAGAGGGATAGATAGATAGATAGATAGATAGATAGATAGATAGATAGATAATGAACAGATTATAAACAGACCTAGATAGATAAGAATAGACTGAGGTAGACATGAATACCATTTTTGCCGATCAGCCAAAGAAAAAAAAATTGCAACAGTTTTTCAAAAAAAAAAAAAAAGAAAAAAAAGGTTCCAATTGGTCTTTCGTCAGGAAAGACGCCTGCTTGTGCGTCAAGTGCGACTCACGATTCCGGAAATGACATGCGAGTGTTTGTTGGACGAAGGCAGTTAATAGCTTGTCTTTTAATAGCAACACCCAATTGTGAACGGAGGAAATTGGTGAAACGGACGAGGTGAACACGCCGGGCCGCGAGTCTTTCTGATCTTCTCGGCTGATGAACGATGTACAGAGGCATGAAGTGGTTTGATTTCTTTTCTTATTTCTTAATTTAGTACAGAAAACATCAAGTGTATGACTTGTAGACACACACAGACTGACACTTCCTGGTCTTAATGTATTTTGATCATAGCTTGGCGTGTGCATGCCTTTGCGAGTACTTGTTTGGGCGAAAATTTATTAAAAGGCAACATCATAAAATATCAATAAAGATTATAATATTTATAAAAAGAAAAGAAAACGAGCCTTGAACGAATAAAAATATCGGCTGTCAATAAATAGATATAATTACACAAAATTAAAAAATTAAAATAGGTATGAATTAATCAGCGATATATATTATATATATATATATATATATATATATATATATATATATATATATAAATTGGATTAAAAAATATGTATCAATATTGTGAATTTCTTCATTTAATGTTATTAAGCTTATCAGACGTTATGAAAAGAATTTACATAAAATAAATAGACAACACTTATATTATTTAATGAAACATGTATGAATGAAATAATGCTGCCTAAATACACACACACAATATATATATATATATATATATATATATATATATATATATATATATATATAATACCAATTTGTAGGGATAATTCCAAAGAGAGTTCAATGTAAGTTCTTTCTTTTCTTTTTATTTGCCATGTCCTTTCAGGACGTAGGCGATCATGGCTCTCCACATCTATCTATCCCTTGCAGCTTTCAAAAAGTTCCTTCCCTCTGCTTCCTCCCCCAGACCACGTTCTGTCATCTGTTTGCTTAAGTCCGCCAGGTGTGTCATGCGTTGTCTTCCCTTGTGTCTCTTTCCCTTCATTCGACCCGTGAGTATCAGATTTTCCAGGCCCTCCTTACTCATTACCTGTCCCAGAAACTTCAGCTGCCTCTTCCTGATGTTAAGTATAAGCCTCTTCCTTGTTTGCAACCTATCTAAGACCTCATCGTTGCTCACACGCTCGGTCCACGGTATCCTTAGCATTCTTCTGTAGAATCACATTTTTGCCGCCTCGAGTCTCTTCTTCATCTTTGAGGAAATCGTCCAACATTCGCTGCCGTAAAGAAGGACAGATGTCACGTAAGTTCAGCCCTCTTTTCTTTGTTACCAAAGAAATCCTCCTGTCTCGCGGTCCTCTTCCCAACTTTTGGAATGTGTCCTTGGCCATCCCAATACGTCTACGGACCTCAGTGTCACACTTACTGTCTTCTGTCAAGACGCTTCCCAGATATTTAAACTTCCGCGTCTGCTTGATTCTAGTGTTGCCGACCTTCAATGTAAGTTACAGAGCAATATAATGATAAATCAAGAAAAAAACCTAAAAAATCCATATCGGTCATAATTTATTTCATGAATATTGTTATATTCAACTCTTTAGACCGAAAGTTTTTAAGAAATGGAATCAATCCATCCAGACAGATATATCGGGATAAAAAGAAAAAAGAAATTAAAAGAGAGAGAGAAAAGAAGGAAAGGAAAAAGAAAGAAGAAAAAATTTTAATAATAAAAAAGAAAGAAAGAAAAAAATAAAAATTACAAATATAAGGAAAATATTTTTTACATTACGGAAAGAAAGAGAGAGAAAGGGGAGAGAGGGGGAGGAAGATAGTTAGAGAGAGGGTGAAAGAAAAGAAAGGAAAGAAGGAAGAAATAACTGATGAGCCAATAGCAAAAATAAATAAATAAAGTGAGCTTGAAAATTTTCTTAAGGGACATTTTCTTAAAAGGACTGAACAAGTTAATATACCAGATAAAGGAAGGATGAGGGGGTTTGGAATTAATGGAGTTACAGCAATTTCTCTAATAAAGTCATACCATAAAATTATCATCACATAATAATCATCATTATTTTAAACTAATTATAATAATAATATTAAACGTAAATAAAATAATATAAGATAATATAATAACATAATATAATAAAAAATAAATAAATTAAATTAAATTAAATAAATAAATAGAACAAATAAATTTAGATAATTATTTAAAAAACTTGGAATATAAAAAAATAGATAATGATAAAAATAATAAAGATATTACTATTAATAACAGTGAAATATATAAATATATAAAAATATAAATTAATAAATAAAAAAATTTAAATAATAAATGATTTAGGCATATGCAAGACAATCACATAAATAACTAAATATATCTACAGATTTGTATATAAAAACATTTATTTGTTTTTGCTATTGCTCATCATTAATTTCTGCCTTCTTTCCTTTCTTTTCTTTCACTCTCTTTCTCTCTCATTCACTTTCTTTCCCTAATTTAATTTTTTTTTATATTTGTAATTATTTCTTCTTTCTTTCTTTTTATTATTAATTATTTTCTCTTTTCTTTTTCTCTTTTCCCTTTTTCCTTCTCCCTTTCCCTTTCTCCTTTTTATCCCGATGTCTGGATGGTTTGATTCCATTTCTAAAATCTTTCGGTCTGAAGAGGTGAATATAATAATATACATAAAATAAATTATAACCGATATGGATTTTTAAGGTTTTTCTTCATTTATCATTATATATATATATATATATATATATATATATATATATATATATATATCTTTAAAAATCAGATCCGTTGAACCGGCTCTACCTTGGTTTCAACCTTACGGCATCGTCAGGCATTTTTTTTCAAATGACCTCTTAACGTTTTTTTCCTTTAAAAACTAATGAACGCTATATTATTTTTTTAAAAATAAACAAATGCATTAGTTCTATTATTTTTACTTTTATTTTATTTTTTCACATTGTATTGAGCACTTTTTAATACCACTGTTTCCTGGTCTGATTCAACTCTGTCTATTAACCTGTTATATATATATATATATATATATATATATATATATATATATATATATATATATATATTCTGGATGTAACAGCAAAATTGTCCAAATCGTGTAACCGAAAAGAATGTCCAATTTTTATATTATCCACTGAACGGTTGTATTTTAGAAATGATTAAAGATAATTTACTGGAATTCTTCGACATTTTTTATAACCTATTGAACTTTGAGAAATAAAAATGTATAATTACTCTCCAAGCTTAACAGGAAAATGCTGATGAAATCGATCATCAACGAAAATGATATGATTATCATTAATTAATCATATATATATATATATATATATATATATATATATATATATATATATATATTACTCCAGGATCATTTTCCAACATATTAAAGAGGATTTTTCCCTCTCTAACGTTCTAACTTTCTGCGCTGGAGTAACAAGGTGCCTCACACGTTTCACACACGATTTCATAATCAAGTCTTTTTTCAGTGCTCTTTGGACTGTCATAAGTGAAACTCTTCTCTTACGTGCCAAACGTCTTATGGATTGAGTTGGATATTTTCTAATTGATTTCTTTAAGAAAGATAATTCTGTTTAACTTTCGATTTTATGCCAATTGAAAATCCATGTTTCTTTTTTTAATTATTTCTATTAGTTATTGAGTAAGGGCTGACATTTTGTACGATTCTAGTGTCTTTTATCTTAAGTTTGAAGTCGTTGAGAAAAGCAAAGATACTTTTTATGCTTATAAAATCAGTTCAGACGCCAAGTAATCAACTTCACATGTCCTTTTATAAAATATTCAGCTTATTTGCAGAGATATGACTTAAAAGTTATCAAAGCGAATTTGAAATCTGAGGTTCTTTGTTTGGTTTATTTTACAGCATATCAACCTCAAGGGATTATTTAATACTGACAATATTTTTGGAATAAGTTCGTATGACTAGAATATGTATTCTTTGTAAGAAATCAGTTTGTAGATCAGGTTGCATTAATGTATTTTTGTAAAGAGGGTTTTTGTCGAGTGTCTGGATTCATTGATTTGGCTTAATTTATTTTGTTTTACGGCATATCAACCTCAATGGGTAATTTAACGCCGACAAGATTTTTAGGATAGCTTCATATGACTGGAATATATATTCTTTGTAAGAAATTAGTTTGTAGATCAGGTTTCATTGATGTATTTTTGTAAAGGTGGTTTTTTGTCGAGAGTCAAAAAATCTATTGCTGGTCGTATTAGTTTGTCTCACATAAAATGACGCAGTTTATAGGAAATGAATAAAACGCTTCTGAAATGTTAAATAACTAATTTATTTACTTGAAATAGGCACCAGGTGGATGAATGACTGTTCCCTAACGTATCTCTAAATTCTTGTTCCCATCTTTAAAAAAAATCTCATTTTTTTGATGTGATAAACAATTCAAGTTCTTCAATTACCGCTTCCTTATTGGAGAATGTCTTGTTGCGTATGCAAAGCTCAAATGGCTTAAATAAGTGATAATCAGTAGGAGAGATATCAAGTGAATATGGAGTATGAAGCAAAATTTCATAATTCAGCGTCATTGTGCAACGAAAATGAGCCACCCCTATTCACAAGTCTAGGATGATTCTTTTCAATTTTTCGTGCATACACTCAATTTCTACACAATACGAGCTTGTTGTTATTGTTTTCTCTTGAGGTAAGATTTTATAACGAATTATCCTTTTGAATGACCACCATACAGTAACCATTAACATTTTAGGGTGCAGTGGAAGTTTTGGGTATTGTTTTAGAGATTTACTTGCATCTAACCACTCTTACTGTTATCAAAGAGTATCCATTTCTCATCGTATGTAATGATTTGATGCAAAAATGGCTCTTTTCCCCAGTTTGTACTCCTACAGTAAGATTACTCAACATTGTATCATTGTAATCATTTTCATTGGGCTTATGAGTAACAATATATTGAAAGAAAAATTATCTGGAAAGAAAAAGAGTCAAGAATAAGTCAAGATTTGTTTATATATGTTGTGGTACGATCCACCTAATTTACATATTGGAGTACCGACCATATAAATATGGTTGGTACCGGGAAGACGGGGAGGGAAGTAACAAGAGTTCCAATCCAGAGACTCTGTCCGACTGCGATTAAGTCAACCCATTCTACAGGAACAGTCTTCCCAAGAATATACCAAA